CACTCAGCCTCAGCGTCAGTTTCCCCCCCCTAAAAAAGTGGAACACTCCGTGACCAGGCCCTGGCGTGCCACAGGATTCTTGGCAGTGCCAACATGTCCTTCCTTAAGCTGCTTGCCTCCCCCTCTAGTATATGGGGTGGGTGAGAGGGAGGGGAAGACACACACATTTGCACACCAAAGCTTGGAGGCTCAAAAAGATCACAAAATAGGAAGTCTCTCTCTCTGTCCAGGGCAATCAATCTGTAGCATGGTTTGATTCAGGCAGCCCTTTAAGAGGTTGGGGGGGGGGAAATCTCCAAAGGTATCTAGAACACCCCCTTGCTTGGTGCAGGGTCTTCTGTTGTGTTTCCCTGAAAATAAGACCTGGTCTTATATTAATTTTTGCTCCAAAAGACGCATTAGGGCTGATTTTCCAGTTAGATCTTATTTTCAGGGAAATACGGTACTAAATGCGATCTTAACTGGGGCTTATTTTTCAGTTGGATCTTATTTTCAGGGAAACACAGTACTAAAACACTATGGACCCTAGGCTATCCAGCCTGGGTTTTGAACACCTCCACCAAAGAGGATATGCCACATCAAGAGACCACCTCTCCTAGTGATTGACAGCACTTAGCTTCAATAAATCAATCCTAATCACAAACCTGAACTTTCATTCTCTGTAGATGTAATTCCTGATTTTCATGCAGAACGGGTGGGGTGCTAAGAGATTTTTAAAAGGTCCACCTGAGAAGGTGTTAGGCTGCAAGAGCAGAGTTCCAGAAGAGAAAGAAAAAAATGAAGTACAAAGGATAATCACCCAACTGGAAAATATCCTTGAGGTCATCTAGTCTGACCCCCCCTGCCCAAAGGTGAATGTTGAAGAACAACTTCAGCAAAGGAAAGACAATTTCCTTCAGAGTCAGGCCATACAACATCAAACACTGGGAAGTTTTTACTAATGTAAAAAAAAAAAAATCTGCTTCCGTATTGATCAGACTTCTGCCCTATAACAAAACCAGAACAGGTCTTGTTCCTCTTAGGCGTGACAAACTCTTTAAATGTTTGATTACCACTAGCACAGCACTTTCCCATCTCATTTTGGATACACACATACATAACCCTTTCGTGCTTTCCTCTCCCCCCTTGCCAGCATATAGGCAGTCCTCAACTTATGACAACCGTTCAAAATTATGACAGAACTGACAAAAAGGTGATCGGTCATCACACCACTGCAATGTCCCAACAGTCACATAATCAAAATCTGGGCAGTTGGCAACCGACACGTATTCACAATGGTTGCAGTGTCCCAGAGGTCATGTAAACAGCATTTGCGACCTTCCCAGATGGCTTCTGACAAGCAAAACCAATGGGGAAGTTGGATTGTCTTAACAGCTGGCTGGGGAATTCTGGGAGTTGAACTCCACACATCTTAAAGTGGCTGAGGTTGAGAAACTCTGCTCCAAAGGGACTGAAGGGATAGGATCCAGTCAAAGAGGAAGAAAATCCAGAGCAAAGCTTACCATTGAATCAGAAAGCAAAGTCCGGCTTCCCAAACCAAGAGAGATCATTCAGATTAGATTCAATTCCCCCCCCCCCCATTCAACCACGCCTGGCCTAAGTTAACCCTGGCTTCTTTCCAAGCTGTGGGTGGTGGCATTGTAAACACAGGGTGAGCCGGGCTTGATAATCTCCTTGGCAGCAACGCACACGGCCTCATTTCATAACCAGGAATGCCCTCTGGTGTCAGATGATTACCCCCCCCCAGGTCCCAGCATCCACAGCCAGAAGAAACAATGGAATTTGTAATACAACCAGGATTATCAGCAGGTTACTGGTTGTTTCTTAGCTGAATAGATGAGGTAAAAGGAAAAGAGACTCTCTTAATAAGCTCTCCTTCTTATCCACCCTGAGGAATTCTGGGAGTTAAAATTCACAAAGTTGCCAAGTTTTTAGAGCCCCTTGCTTTAAAGCAGTGTTTCTCAACCTTGACAATTTTAAGGCATGTGGACTTCAACTCCCAGAATTCCACAGCCAGCATTGCTGGCTGTGGAATTCTGGGAGTTGAAGTCCACATGCCTTAAAATTGTCAAGGTTGAGAAACACTGCTTTAAAGTATCAGCCATGGATGGAAAGGGGGGGGGGGCAGCAATTTTTTTATAAAGCTGGTCAGTTTACCAGAGGCCCTGTTCAGCCTTCCTAAATCTGAAGCCCACCAGATGGCCTCATCCAGCAAACATCAAGAGCCACACACCCAAGGGGCCCTTGAAGGGAAGGACATCACTCTATCAAGCAGGACATTTGGCCTTCAAAATTAACAATTCAGAGCAAAGCTTTCCAAATTTACAGCATTTGGGCTTCCTACGCTGGGTCCTCAAAATACCTGGGGGGGGGGGGAGTTATTCCAAGTGTCTTATTTCCCTTAGGAATGTTGACCCACAAACATCTGTGAACAGGTAGTCCTCAACTTACAACAGTTCATTTAGTGACTGCATAAAGTTATAATGGCATTGAAAAATGTGATTTATGACCGTTTTTCAGTTACGACCTTTGCAGCCTTCCCCATGATCATGGGATCAAAATCCAGGCCCTTGGCAACTGACTCATATTTGTGACCAAGTCACATGATCCCCTTTTGCGACCTTCTAACAAGCAAAATCAATGGGGAATCCAGATTCACTTAACAACAGGGTTACTTAATAGTGGCAAGAAAGGTCGTAAAATGGGGCTCACTTAACAAATGTCTCACTTAACAGAAATTTTGAGCTCAATTGTGGTCATAAGGACTACCTGTATGTCTTTGTTGGCCAGTGAGGGCCAAAGGGTAGGACAGGGGTAGGGGTAGGCAACCTTGGCTTTTATGATTCATGGACTTCAACTCCCAGAATTCCTGAGCCAGCCATGCTGAGGGGAAAGGGAGAGGTTTCCAAGCTGAGCCATGCTGGCTCAGGAATTCTGGGAGTTGAAGTCCACGAATCATAAAAGAGCCAAGGTTGCTTACCTGAAAGGTACTAGCAACTCTTAGCTTTTTTGTGGTGCTTTTTCCCCCTTTCCAATTTCTTGAGAAATAAGCCATGCCAAAAATCTTTTCCAAAGCCCGGAACTGTTACAGATTAATCCATGGACCACGGTATGTGCTCATCTCTCCTCTTCCCTCCTCATCGCTTCTTCCTTTCATCTCTTGCCTTTCAGAAAGGTAACTTGTGGGCAGGGAACACTTCCTGCTTTAATATTATTGAGGATCATAGACTCATAAGGGCTGGAAGGGACCTTGGAGGTCTTCTAGTTCAGGGATAGGCAACCTTGGCTCTTTTATGACTCGTGGACTTCAACTCCCAGAATTCCTGAGCCAGCCACGCTGAGGGGAAAGGGAGAGGGTTCCAAGCTGAGCCATGCTGGCTCAGGAATTCTGGGAGTTGAAGTCCACGAGTCATAAAAGAGCCAAGGTTGCCTATTCCTGTTCTAGTTCAAAACCCCCTGCTCAAGATGAGAGCCACATCAAACCCCTAAAACCCCACTGCCTAAATTGCCCTTCCTTCTCCAAGCAAGACTATCTTAGTCTTATGGCACATTCTCGCTCCTGAAAATATCCCAGGGTGTCTGTCTGTGCAAAGAGAAAGGAATGTGCAAATAGCAAAAGCAATTGAATCAGAGCCAGAGTTATCACAAACAGAAGGCCAGCTAGCAAGTCCCTCTTCACTTCATCACTCTTTGGTATCCTTCCCCCATCTATTTCCTCTCTAGGTCTCCCTATCCAACCCTTCCTTTTCTGCATTTTAAGTACCATAAACCTGAATGACTCCCAAACCCCTCTTTCCACCCTCCCTTTCTTCTCTGTCAACTGGGTGCAATGTGATTCCCCCCCACCCAACACTCTGCAATCCCTTGACTTCCCTTGCAACCCGATGTTTTGTTTTGTTTTTTAATTGCAAAAGAACAGGAAGGGATGTTATGCTGGGTTACAAAAAATTAGAAGTCACATGCAACAAGGGAAGGGACAGGATTAAGTGAAGGAAAAGTTGGAAGGGGAAGGAGAGTGTTTTGTGTTTGTTAAGGGGAGGGGTGGAGGCAAAAGAGAAGGGTACAAAACCCTTCAGACAGGGAGGAGAAAATGAACAAACAGGCAATTAAAATGCAAGGACTGTAAGACAGCCTATGTCAAGGGGATTCATTTTGAGTAGAGAATCAAGGAAGTAAAACCTTGACTCCTGTAATTCTCCTCCCAGGGTGGAGATAGCTAAGAAATACTATTATCTGGCTGGAGAAAACCCTATTATTCTCAGCTCTTTGGAGAAGCAACTTTTCTCAAAAAGACTTCCTAAAAAGAGGGGGGGAGGGGGAGGAGGGAACCTAGAGAATAGGTAGGTCCCCAAAGTCAGTCAGTCTTTCTACATATCAGCTCAGCCAGGCTTCACCAAACTTAAGTATCAGTGACAAAGCAAACTATGATACCTTCTCATAATATTCATTCATTGCTATAATTGATCAGTAGAGACAGATCTAGGAGTTAAAAGTCAGACAGATTTGGTGGTTCTTTAAAAAAAAAACAGTTAATGAGTTAAACAGAAAGTCTAACGAATGAAGATCAGGAAGGATGAGCAAAAGCAGTAGAAATTAAAAGCCAGTGGAAATTGCTTAAGTCAGGACCTAAAGTAAAATACAACTGGTGAAAATGCTAATAAAGAGAATCTGTCTATAGATCTGCAGAGGAGAACCAAAACAGAATTAGAGCACCCTGGACTAGTCAAATAGACAGCACAGGACCCAGCCAAAAACTTAAGCACTCAACTAGCGTTGATAAGACAAACCAGCTGCTCATAAGCTTGCTTGCTTAATCAGAGCATCAAAAAAAGATCTGAAAGCGGTTGACTCTGAAATCAGGTTTTGTGTACATGAAGCCTTAGCTTTTTCTGTCTTACCGAAACTACAACTCTCAGGATTCCTCTCTAGCACGCTACCTGGGGAATTCTAGAAAATCTTGGCATACAATGAGGACATCAAGTAGAGCAGAGGTCCCCAACCTTTTGGGCATCAGGGACTGGTGCCATGGAGAACGTTTTTTCCGCGGACCAGAGGGGGTGTGGTTTTGAATACTGCCTGCATCCCGAGGACGGAGCTTTGTTCGTTTGTGTGGCCCGCTTGCTGGCATGCTGCGGACCGGTGCCGGTCCACAGACCGGGGGTTGGGGACCCCTGAAGTAGAGGATACATTTTTATTACTATTATAATAATAAAGAAAACTGTAGCAGAACTGAAACAATGATAAATACAAGAGAAGAGCAACTACTTAGATAGAAGGGAAATAGGCTAAACGCACTAACCTTCCCATGGACAAGGACAGGGGTAGGCAACCTTGGCTCTTTTATGACTCGTGGACTTCAACTCCCAGAATTCCTGAGCCAGCATGGCTCAGTTTGGAAACCTCTTCCTTTCCCTTCAGCATGGCTGGCTCAGGAATTCTGGGAGTTGAAGTCCACGAGTCATAAAAGAGCCAAGGTTGAGTACCCCTGGACTAGAATCTTGATAAGAGATTTTGCTTTGTCCCTGACAAAGTCACTATTTATTTATTTATTCATTAAATTCTCAATTTATTCAATCCTGATGTCCTTCCAATGTTTTGCTTTGTGGCCTAAGGTGCCAAATCACTTGGACTCCTGGGAATTGTAGCCCAAACTTCTACAGCAGTGTTTCTCGACTTCAACCACTGGAATTCTGAGAGTTGAAACCTCAACCTACAGGGTCCTGCTCCCTTTGCAGTGGACCCATAATGACAGTGCTGTATCTACTACAACTCCCCATCTTTTTTTTGCCTGCACATCTTTTTCTCTTAAACAGTGGTTCTCAACCTGTGGGTCGGGACCCCATTTGGGGTCGAACGACCATTTCATGGGGGTCGCCAAACAACGCAGTCCGCCATTTTTTCCCCCTTTTCCTTGGCTGTGCTACTCCCTTTTATTCTATTGGCTTTTGAAAGCCAATAGAATAGACTCTCTTGAATAGAGTCTAATTCTATTGGCTTTCAAAAGCCAATAGGAATTGTCCAGACTGTCTCTGCCCTGCTGAGCCCGCCAAAAGTCCCATTCTGCAAATGGTGCTGCACCAGTTGAGTAGTCCTCGACTTATGACCAGTTGAGTAGTCCTCGACTTACAACCGGTTGAGGGTCGCGGCATTAAAAAGGTTGAGAACCACTGCTCTTAAAGATGGAAGAATTGGACCAAGCAAAGTTTTTAAAAGAGCACAGACCATTTATTCATATCTACCTGAGTCGCATCTTACCTGAGTTTCGGTTAAACTTTCTAACGCTTGCATCACCGACTGTTCTGGCCTGGATGCTTGAGACTGTAGAAGAAAAGAAGAGAGGAAGTTCTGAATTTCCTGCCCCTAGAACAGGGGTAGGCAACCTTGGCTATTTTATGACTCATGGACTTCAAGTCCCAGAATTCCTGAGCCAGCCATGCTGAGGGGAAAGGGAGAGGTTTCCAAGCTGAGCCATGCTGGCTCAGGAATTCTGAGAGTTGAACTCCATGAGTCATAAAACAGCCAAGGTTGCCTATCCCTGCCCTAGAATGACCTTGGCCTGAAACCATGGTTAGCAAACGACTAAAAATTACCATCAAGCCAGCTTCCACCGTGGGCACCAAAGTCAGCTTGCTCCCTTCTCCGACCCCCAAATCTTGCAGCTTGCCTGAATTCAGCCGACTGGAGGAGAAAAGCAAGGAATGGAAAGAAAAAACAAAGACTTAGTTTACAAGGTCAGAAAGGGCCACACCGATTACCAAACACTTCCTCAAACATTTTAACTGTTTGCAACTGTTATAAAGACAGGGAAAAAACAACAACAGCAGCATAGGATTTCTAAGGAGCTTGTGATTAAAAAAAAATAATAGAAGGCTGCTGTTGCTTTTATTATTATTAAAATGGTTCCTGTGACAACATTAGTTCTAATAAAGATGCAGCCACCAAGAAAATCCTTTTTTTCTCTCTCTCTCTCTCTCCCTCCCACTAAACTCCTGTCTCAGCCCAGGCGCTCCACTTTCCGCTCCTTATGTAAACATAATATCATAAGTCTCTCTCTTATCTCTGCTGCCCCCATGAGAGAGGAGGGCTGTGATTCTGCAGGCAACTCTCCAAAGGCAAACATCCCTTGCTTTTCCTACTGTTCCAGACAATTGAACTGACAGATCTGGGAAGCTAAAGAAGGTTAAGGGATGGGGGTGGGGGAGAGAAGCAGATAAAAGAATCCTATCAGCAGCTGTTGGAATATTTTTGGTGGGGTGGGGTGGAGGGTCCAGAAGAAAGAGACTTGAAGGTGGGTGAATTTTGTTTTTCCAGTCTGATTCCCAAAAAAGGATGGGAGAAGGTAGCTTTTTGGGAACAGATCAATTGATAAAACCAGCTCCCCCCCCCCCCCCGCACACCTTATCGTTTACCATTATTCCCGTCAGAATATTCTAAGCTTGTACAGATACCTAGAACTTCTTAATTGCCAAAAGGGCTGGGAGATAAAATGACATATTTTTTTTGTTGTTTTAAAGCTAGATTTTAAATCATCTTTCAGTTTACCTTAAGCTCAGAGGCTGGGAAGATGCATAAAGGAGTAAAAGAGGGGTAGACTTTGGGGCCCAGTGCAGCGTTGAGGGCTGATTGTACAAAGACAGAGCTGTTTTGCATCTTAAGGACTGATCCGTTCTGCATTCTCTAACAAAGCTAAGGGGGGGGGATTTAGTTAAACAAAGAGAGCGGCTCAGACACTCCAGATAGCCCTGTCTCTCCCCCCCCCCCAAACCAAACCCTTCCTCCTCACAAAGGACATTTCAAGTCAGCCCCAGCTAGCCTTCCCTGCACCTCCAAGATTTCTCCAGAAATCTTGGGGGGAAATTTTTTTTTTTACAGCAGTTAGAAGGTCTGTGTAAGTGATGGCCTGCATCTGTGTGCATGCAAGCGTGAATGTGTGTGTGCGCGCGCGTGCATGTGTGTGTAGGCGTACATTTCTCTCTATGCACTTGCACGCTACCCAAATTCAACCTTCAGAACAAAGGACACCTCCACCAAGGGAAGGGAGGCGAGGACAGAAAGGGAATCTGAAGCCAATATATCTTTTTTTTTGGAGGGGGGCGGGGGCGGGAAAGAACCTGAAGAGGATTTTCCTAGTCTTCCTCTCTCTTCATCTTAAGCAAAGTTGCCAGGACAAATTCTGATCCGGAGATCAGATCAACAGATATTAATATTTCTTCTCCAGCAGGGAAAAAGAGTGGGATGGGGGGGTTGCATCGGCATGTTATTTAAGGAGAGGGGGCTACACTTCGCTCTTTACAAAAGCTTTCTGAGTTTTACAAGGGGATAAAAATGAGGAATAAGGTATTTTGCGGAAAGAAATCTGCAAAGAGGATCAAGCTATATTTTTCTCTTCTAAGTACTCCATATAGGCTCCCTCTTGGCTGTTTTATAGTATGCCTGAATGTCAAAAATGAATCCCACTGCAGTCCCTCTCTCTCTCCTCTCCCTCCCTATATACACACACACACACACATACATACATACACAGTCTCCCTTCTGAAGAGATGCATGGATTCTTATCTAAACAGTATTCCACAATCAGCACATTTGCAATATTCCTTTTAAAAAAAGACGGTATATAATTACAGGCAGGCACCAAGATTTCTGCAGGCATTCACACACAATACACAAGAAAGTTCAAAGGCAGTTGCTGAGTAGCCTAGAATTCTACACTGTCTACTTTTCTCCATACACTTCGGGAAGTTTTCTCACTCCTTAGGAAGGCGGCTGCAGCCCTCAAAAATCTTTTAATACCCAGAAAAATCCCAAGCAGCTCCCGAATTTGCCTTTGAATTTGCCTTATCTGAACTCGAGATGATTTCCCCAGAGGTTCAAAGCAGCTAGTACTGCTTTTAATTAAAGGTCTCTCTCTCCCAATTCAAAAAAAGAAACAAATGGCTTGAATTCTAACTTCCCACTATCTTCTGCCCCCCACCCAAGTCTTTATTTCGAAACGGGGGGGGGGTAGGAAACGGACGAAAGATTCGACATACACTCAGAGGAGAGAGACATCCACAATCGCACAAGAGTGAATACCTTTCTTTATGTAAGAGAGCCAGCCGTTCCTTGGGGACTTTAAGCTTCTGAGACAGCCTCCTCTTCAGACCTTCCACCGTCTCTTCCACGGGGACAGAGAGCTCATACCGGGCCCCGGTGGTCGTGTGAATGAAAACATTCATAGGAGGGTCACTCTGGACAGTGTCGCAGGCTGGGGGCCCCCGGCTGCAGCTCCTGGGGGTGGGTTGGTGGTCCATTCGATTCACCTGGGGTGCAAAGGGGAAGGAAAGGGGTGGAGGAGGCAGAGATGAGGCCGAGAAGAAGCTGGGAGGCAGGCTGCCCCGCAGACAAAGGAGCGCCTTTTTCCCCCCGCCGCGTTTACACGACCCTGGAGCGACTCCGTCTCCTCTCTCTCCCCTCACCCCCCCCCCGCTACTGCCCTCGGCCGGGCGCAAATTCAAGTCCAACTAACGTCTTCGGATCTTTTCAAGAAAAGTTCTGCTCCGCCAGCCATCCGTGCGCAGAGAGCGCGGAGAGGGGAAAGGGCGTCTTTTGTCCTTTCACGACCCCCTTCCGCCAGAAAGCTACCCGCAACTCACTTATTTCTCCCCCCCCCCACTATTCCCGCGGATTACACGCGTCCTTAAGGGATGCGGAGAGGGAGGAAAGGATATTGTTCTTCTTCCGATCCCCGACACACATACACACATTCCATCCCACCCCCCCAAATAATACTACCTCTGCCTTCTTACGGAAATGCAGCAGGGAAGGTTAAAAATAAAAATCTGAAAAGCCCAAGAAAGGAGGAAAAACTAAAAGAGAGGCGCGCGGGCTACAGCTGGCTTCCCCACCTGGGCTTGAACCCGTGGCCAAACGCGCGCACACCGAGCAGCGAAGCAGCCGGCTCCAGCCGCCGCCGCTGCCGCTCCCGGAGTCTGGTGTGAAAGTAACCAGTGCCGGGAAGACACAGCGAAGGAGGGGAGATGAAAGAGGAGGGGGGGGGGAAAGGAAGAAAAAGTTAGAATGTATCAACGTTCTAAATGGGCGGAATTACTCTCCCCCTCCCCATTCATTCTTTACTCCTTTTTTCTCTCGGCCAGCCCCGCCGCAGCCAATCGGAGCTCTCCTCCCGCAGAGACGCCAGCGCGGCCGACCAATGGCTGTCGCTTCGCGGCTCTCCCCCACGTGGAAGAAGACCGGATGCCTCGCCTCGCCGCCCCCACCCCCCCCGCCTTCGCCCGCCCCGCCAGCGATCAAGCAATAGTGGGCGGGGCTTTGGGTGCCAGAATGGAGTTTTTCCTCCACCCACGCGCTTCTGCGAAGCCAGCCCCCGTATTTCCTCGCCCTTCCCCCCCCCTTTTTAAAGGGCCATTCATGATGTATTATTTCTACAACAAAGAGCTTTATTAAAAAAAAAAAGTGATACGGCGTGCGGGAGTTTTATCGAGATGCACAGACGGCGATAAACGGAGGGATCGCAATTGTAAAAGGGAGGGTTGGGGGGGATGCAATTAAAAGAGGCAGGAGGGTTTATTCAAACGTCATAATTCGGCTTCTTTTGATGCTTCAGAAAAAAATCGGTGTTTTTTTTTTTTTAAAGAAACGCTGCAATAACGTTTATTATTTAGGAAGGGTTTCATTTGGGATTTCTTTCGGCCGTTTAGACTGAATCTTCTTGCAACTGAAACAAATGCTGGGCTACATGCACTTTTTCCTCGGGGAAGTAACTTCTACTGTTCCCTGGGGCTTTTACTCAGAAGTAAACATGACCAGTCCTATTTATGTTTCCTATCTCCACTATAAGCATCGGTGTAACAGGCTTAAACTGGAACAGAACCAGACAAATAACTTGAGTGTGCAATTGTATCACTGGGGGGGGGGGTAAGGAACAAGAGGGGTAGACACTTCAGTGGGGGAACCCAAACAGTTGTAATTAACGATATAATTAATAAAGCCCCGGAGGATTTCAATGTATCAAAGTCTCAGTAAATGCAATTTTAAAAGAAGGATGAGAAACACGATCCTGCGTTCCTGTTCCATTGTGATCTATTTCTTTTGATAACTAGAAAATCTTCACATCTGAGAGTCATAATTTATAGAGTAGAATACTTTGTATAGAGTATAGGTCAGGGGTCTTCAAACTTGGCCCTTTGATGACCTGCGGACTTCCAACTCCCAGAATTCCTCAGCCAGCCCACAAGTCATCAAAGGGCCAAGTTTGAAGACCCCTGTCCTTATATATATACAAGGAGTATAAATCCTTCCATTCCCCACCATCCAGTCAGAGCTGAAGAAGCTTCTTGGATGAGAAGTGAAAGGTCTTCAAAGAGAAAAAAGAAAAGCCAGTTGCCTCGTGAAAAAACACCTTGGGGACAACCATGACCTAGAGCAGGGGTAGGCAATCTTGGCTCTTTTATGACTCGTGGACTTCAACTCCCAGAATTCCTGAACCAGCCATGCTGAGGGGAAAGGGAGAGGTTTCCAAGGTGAGCCATGCCAGCTCAGGAATTCTGGGAGTTGAAGTCCACGAGTCATAAAAGAGCCAAGGTTGCCTACCCCTGACCTGGATGACTGATAATTTCCATAGACACCTCCCCCATCTTACTGAAAAAAAAAAAAAGAATAGGACCTACCGCTGTCCAGATTGGCCACCATAAAACCTATAAACCTGAGTTTCGATAGACCTTTTTTCTCAGCGTGTCACGAATCACGAGATAACCTTTCTCTTAATCCCCGAATACACAAACCCATCAAACATAACTCCCTCCTTCCCTGCACCCCCAAAACTGTTTGCTCAGGTGGTGAACAAGAGCGGAAATCTAAAAATTTAAATTCCCTTTGGAGAAGGCAGGAAACAGGCAAAAATGGCTAATGTTATGTTCAGCTTCTTTAACACCAGCAAAAGTTAAAAATCCCAATTGTTTGGAGAAAAGGGTTCAGTTATTATATTGCTCTTCGGTGCCACAAACGGGAAGAAAAAAGAATCACTGGTGCCTTAATCAGCCTTCAGATGTGTCAGGATTAAAACTCTCCAAATTCTTTCCAAGAATTCTTGGAATTGTATTTTCCTTCTGCCTCTGGAAGAGGCCAGGTTGAAAAAAGCATCTTGAAGACATCTATCTGGCCCAGGTCAATAACTAAATTTCCTAGTCCTGCGTCTCAGACTTCAGATAGATCCCAAGAACTGAAGGAAAATGTTTTCAAGGGGGAAAAAAGACCCAAGAAAGTCCAGTTGCCTTTTGGAAAAGCACTTTTGAGACAACCCTGACCTGCATGACTGAGAATCTCCGTAGACAGGTAGTCCTCAACTTATGACCACAGTTGGGAGCAGAATTGCAGGTGTTAAAGGTGGTTGTTAAGCGAATCACGATGGGGTTTACTACCGTTTTTGCACAATTCTTAAGCAAATCACTGCAGTTGTTAAGTGAATCACTTGGTCACTGAGCAAATCCAGCTTCCCCCATTCACTTTGCTTGTAGGAAGCCGGCTGGGAAGGTTGCAAATGGGGATCACGTGACCCTGGGATGCTGCAACCGTCATAAAAGACAACAACAACAATAATACAGTTGGAAGGGACCTTGGAGGTCATCTAGTCCAACCCCCTGCTCAGGCAGGAAACCTTATACCATTTCAAACAAATGGCTGTTCAGCCGCCTTCTTGCCAGTTGCCTGAATTTTGCTCACGTGGCCCTGAGGATGCTGCAACGGTTCTAAGTGCCAGGGCGGGTCATTCATCCTTTTTTTTTTCAGTGCTGTTGTGACTTTAATTGGTCACAAAATGAATGGCTGTAAATCGGGGACTACCTGTAATTAGAAGGCTTAATCCTAAAAGGCAAGCAATGGAAAATGGAAAACAGCTTGACTTACAACCATTTGTTTATGGGAGAGTTCAAAGTTACGGAACTGAAAAAAAGTGACTTACGACCAGTCCTCACACTTACAACCAACTCAGCATCCCCCTTCCCCCCTCCCAGGCATGTGATTAAAATTGGGTGCTTGGCAATCAGGATGTATTTACAACAGTTGTAGTGTCGTGTGTGTGTGTGTGTGTGTGTGTGTGTGTGTGTGTGTGTGTGAGAGAGAGAGAGAGAGAGAGAGAGAGAGAGAGAGAGACGATGGCCATTTGCCCCCTTCCCAGCTGGCTTCAATGGGGGGAAGCTGGACTGATTTAATGACTGGTTGATTCGCTTAACAACGGCAGTGATTTGCTTAACAACCATGATAAAAATGGGTTGCAAATTGGTTGTAAAATTGGGCTTGACTCATTTAACAACGGCCTTGCTTAACAACGGAAATCCTGGCCTCAATTGTGGTCATAAGTTGAGGACTACCTGTAAAAGTTGAAGAGGACAGCCAGCAGCAAGGGAGATAGTTACAGAAGTGATGTGGTCACTAGACCTGGAAGACCGTGGCTGGCTGGGGGAATTCTGGGGGTTGAAGTCCACAGTGGCCACGGTTGAGAAACACTGATAGAACATAATGCTTTGGCAGGCTGAGAAAGAGATGGGTCATAACCATCCAAAGTTCAGCTTGTTTCAGATACTAGGCTAGGCTTCCTTCGGTTCTGAATCAGCCCGTTGGGCAGATGGCCGCCTATGATTTCAACAAATCAAACAAACTATCATATATGAGTCGTGTTCTCCACCTTTCCAGATTTTCGCGTCCTTGCAAGGAGGCCATCAAGAGCCACGATTTACCTAAAAAGGAAAAGGATCTCCTGCTTGAGCAGGGGGTTAGACTAGAAGACCTCCAAGGTCCCCCTTCCGGCCTTATGTTTTAACTGCTAGTGCCGTTCCTTAGCTTCCAAGGCTTGAGCCTTGGCTCCTGATCTTGGGGAGCCAAAGGGGGGAAAAAAGCAGGAACCAGCCAGAAAACTCCCTGCCAAGCCTGGCAGCCAGAAGGGCAACACCCCAGCTTCCTTCTGACCAGTCCAGTCTCATAATTCGGGCCTTGTGCCAATCACATTCACAGGACATACCTAAATGGGTTGGTCACTCCATAGGGGAAGTGATTTACCTTCCTGGTTCTCACTTCCCTTTAGAACAAAGATGCAAATGTAAACACCAGATTAAAAAAAAATATTATTATCCAACTTATTTGCCGCCCATCTCGCAGTTCAAAACAACTCAGCAACGGACTCTGATTTTAAAAAGTACACAGGGCCCCCATCGAATCAAAGTTCTCCCTTTCACTCCTCTCTATACAAAAAAAAAAGAGCACGCAACGGACAAATCTCAGACAAAAAACGACATCTTGCTCATAGCATGTATCCTCCCGCCATGGCGAGATACAGGTAGTTCTCTACTTACGACCATTCATTTAGGGCAGGGGTAAGCAACCTTGGCTCTTTTATGACTCGTGGATTTCAACTCCCAGAATTCCTGAGCCAGCGTGAGGGAAACTTTGGCCCCCTTCATGACTCGTGGACTTCAACTCCCAGAATTCCTGAGCCAGCATGGCTCAGCTTGGAAACCTCTCCCTTTCCCCTCAGCATGGCTGGCTCAGGAATTCTGGGAGTTGAAGTCCATGAGTTATAAAAGAAGTGGCCTACCCCTGATTTTGGGAATTCAAAATTACAATGCCACTGAAAAAAGTGACTTATAACGAGTCCTCACACTTATGGCCATGAATCAAAATTCACATCCAGTTTTTGCCCATAGGGTTAACAAAAAAGTGAGGAAAAAAATGGCTTGGCTTTATTGTTATTCCAGCTTCCATTTTTGGGGGTGTCACCGAGGTAAATAAGGCATGGATACAGAGAACCCAGGATACTGGCTGGATACTCACATCCACAAACAGTTAACCACAATGAATTCTAACCAAGTTTAAGATGGGGTGAAAATGCAGCTGCCTGGTCCTTAGTTAAGCAGTTAAGCCTCAGCACATTGTGGTTTGCTGTGTTCCAACTTAGCACAACTATGAGCAGAAAATGAATTACAATCATTTGTAAAACATGGCTGATAGCTTACTACAGTGTTTCTCAACCTTGGCAGTTTGTCTCCCAGAAGTCTGGGAGTCGAAGTCCACCCATTTTCAAGCTGCCATGGTTAAGAAAGACTGGCTTAGTATGAGGCATGAATCTAGCTGTTATTCAGCAGGCCATGATTTAACAGATCATGGCTTAACCCATTGCTCTGGCATGATGTATTATTAAATGTGATAGCAATTTGTATCAGTGAGCAAAAGGCTATCAGAAAAACATGAAGTGGGCATGAGTTCTTGGTCATTGGTGATACAGCTGATTTATGTTTTGGAAATTTTTTATTATCTGCCATGTGACAGCGGCTGAAGACTAACCCACAACCCCAGACTGAACTGAATCACTGGGTCACTGTGTGGAAGGTATCAGGCAAGCTTCTTTGAGCCTATTGCTACACATATATTTAGATTAAAATAGGAACATGCAGACTTTTGGGCTTGTCTGGACTGAATCCAGAATTAGACCACTTTCAGGTGGAGATGATGACTTAATCTTGAGAAGAAGAAAAAAAAAATGCTCACAAGACCAGGGAAGCCATAGCTGGATTCCTATTTTAAAGCAAGTCATATTGTGGTTTGTTGAGTTCCTGCTTAAGAGTGATGTGCGAACTAGATCACCTCCAAGAGATTTTATTAGGCAAAGACTTTCTAATCTAGATGAGTCATCATCTAGGGTTAAAAACAATGTTCTTGTAGAGGTTAAAAGCTCAATGAGGAAAAGTAACAACAGAATAAACTTGTATGGATTATAGACCAAATTATCTTGAAAGACTTGGACTGTGTGGAGAATAATAGCAGAAGAGGTCAGAAAGAAAGAAAAAAAAACAATGCAGAGAGAAATAATTATGTATAGAGGGCGGAATCCTTGGTGCTCTCTGAGCTTGTTTGTTTTCTTGCAGACAGTTCATTACCCAACTAGGTAACATCATCAATGCTGGTAACTAGTAGCATTGATGATGTTACCTAGTTGGGTAATGAAATGTTTGCAAGAAAACAAGCAAGCTCAGACAGCACCAAGAATGCCACAGTTCAGCCCTGAGATACAAATATTCTCTCCTATCAGTATGTACTGTATGGGTAGGCAACCTTGGCTCTTTTATGACTCGTGGACTTCAACTCCCAGAATTCCTGAGCCAGCATGGCTCAGCTTGGAAACCTCTCCCTTTCCCCTCAGCATGGCTGGCTCAGGAATTCTGGGAGTTGAAGCCCACGAGTCATAAAAGAGCCAAAGTTTCCCTCATGCTGGCTCAGGAATTCTGGGAATTGAAGCCCACGAGTCATAAAAGAGCCAAGGTTGCCTACCCCTGGTATAGACAATTACTATTCTCCCAAGAATTTATCAGTCATTTCTTCCAGTTTATCTTTAGGCCAATAATGGAAGGAAGATTTGGGCTCAACAGACATAAAGAAACACAGTTCTGATTTCCCTGACTATTATTAGTGCTTTGAGGACGCAATGAAAACTTACGTTGGGTCTTTTGTCTTTAAAGGGGACTAGGAACCGAGGCCTAGAATGAGCATCTAAGGGACCGATTCTACTTTTATTGTAAAAAGCAAATAGGGGCAGTGTTCACTTTGGGAGCTTTAAGAAGCGCGGACTTCAACTCCCAGAATTCCCCAGAATGCCCAGCTACCCAGCCAATTCCCCATGGCTAGAGAATTCTGGGAATTGAAGTCCCCATTCTCTTAAAAGTTGCCAAGATTGAGAAACATTGTTCCGGCCTACTTTCCACCTTAATCTGACTATATAGATCATATTCTGTATTAACGTGGCTGCCAAAAGGGGTATTATCAAGAATGAGTCAGCAAAGCAAGAGCTCCCTCTGCTGGGATAAACTGAAATAGTTGGGGACAATAGGGTTGAGAAAAAGATCTGAGGTGGCAAATGGTTTGAGGATGTGTGTGTGTGTGTGTGTGTGTGTGTGTGTGTGTAAACTGAAATAGTTGGGGACAATAGGGTTGAGAAAAAGATCTGAGGTGGCAAATGGTTTGAGGATGTGTGTGTGTGTGTGTGTGTGTGTGTGTGTGTGTGTGTCTGTCTCTGTGTCTCTCTCGAACCTCTGCTTGGAAACTTTTGTGGCTCAGTGAGTGATATCATGGCTGCCCCCAGGTTAAACTGCAATCATTCCCATCGGTTTATCCGAAAGACCTCAGAGAAGTCGGGAAGCGTTTTTGAACTGGATTGTAGGGTGAAATTAATTTATAGTTTCTGGAGAGACAGAAATATTCTCTCTTTCTCTGCTCCTGTGCAAAGAGCATTCAGCTGACCAATCTAAGATGAAAACAACCAACGCTCTCGTTCAGGGGTCTTCAAACTTGGCCCTTTTACGACTTGTGGACTTCAACTCCCAGAATTCCTCAGCCAGACACGGGTGCCTGGCTGAGGAATTCTGGGAGTTGAAGTCCACAAGTCGTAAAAGGGCCAGGTTTGAAGACCCCTGCTCTGGTTTATAGCATCCTCTAGCTCTGGAAAGATACAGGTAGTCCTCAACTTACAACTATCACTTTAGCCACCATTCAAAGTTCCACGCCACTGAAAAAAAGTCCCTTCGGACGAGTCCTCGTGCTTACTACAACCATCACAGCATCCTCACAATAATGTGATCAAAATTTGGGAGTTTGGCAACCGGTATATATTTACAACGTGAGGCTGTGTGATCACCATTTCCAACCTTCCCAGCTAGCTTTCCAACAAGGAAACTCAATAGGGCAGGGGTCTTCAAACTTGGCCCTTTTACGACTTGTGGTCTTCAACTCCCAGAATTCCTCAGCCAGCATCGCTGGCTGAGGAATTCTGGGAGTTGAAGTCCACAAATCATAAAAGGGCCAAGTTTGAAGACCCCTGCAATAGGGGAAGCTGCATTTGCTTAATGACCCGCTTGATTTACTTAACAACTGCAAGGATTCACTTAATAACTGTGGGGGGGGAGGTTGTAAATGAGGATGCGACTTACTTAAGTACCGCCATGTTTAGCAATGGAAATTCTTGTCCGAAATGGGGTCATAACTTAAGGACTCCCTGTACCTGCGGCTTAGGCACTACTGTCTTTGATTGTGTGAGCCCCCCCCCAAAAAAAGTAGCCCAGGAAGGAGCTGCAGGCAGAAAGGAATAGAGGGTGTGCGGTTAAAATGACACCCCCAAGCCCAAAGGGTCAATAACAAGTAAATATTATTCTTCCTTCATTTGAATGGTAGGCAGTGTTAGTCCCCTGGAAGAGAGGCACCCCAAAATTTTGCCACAACTTTGTGTCTTTTTTCACTGTTTGGGATGCCCCAAATCCTGGAGCTTTCTGCCTCCAAACTGACATTGTCAAAGTTTGAACCGGTCAGGAAAGGAACAGGATTTAGCGTGCCTGGGTGTGTGGAGGGCGTATTAATTGCAGCTGACTTTAATTCAACATAATCTCCAGTGGAGGAGATTCCCATTCCCTCCCCTCCTTTTGAAGCAGGGCCTTCCATGTGTCACCCGAAGGCTCCCCAGTGGGAGCACCCACTCCTGTTTTAAAGGAAAGTGAAAAGATTCTCAGGTCAAAATGTCAAAGGCATGCATGCCGTTCCCCCGGCCTGCAAAACTAGACTGGAAATTTTCCAGCCCCACCGCATTTTTTCCAAGTGAGGTGGGGTGGACTGGGCTGCAAGCTCACACCCCTTCCGCACCAATAACTTAAGCCTGCAAGCTGAAGCTACAATTTATTTTCAAACCAAGGAAAAATAAAGTCTCCTAAATGCTCTCTGGACCACAGAACACTAAGCCGGTGGGTGGGTAAGTTTATATTCCCTCCCCATGCCATCCTCCAGACAAAATAGAGGCAGAGGTGTCAGAGAAAAGGCATAAAAAGAGAAAAACAAAAGCTTTGCCATTTGCAAATCTGTAGGGCTATCCCTGTTTCCCCCCCCCCTCTTTTTAATTAAATGGAGCAACATTAACATTTTCAGGGTCCATCCATCAATGTGTTCTGGGGGATGCTGGCCAATTCAGCTCCACAAACCCAGGACCTGCAAACTCAGACGCAGAAACACTGTTTACTGTTTACAGAATGAGAAAGACTCAATGCCCAGGTCTGAAGATGCTGGCACAGGAATAATTCAAGAGACCCAAATCTCCCTTGTGCCTTACCGAATCCACAATTCTTTTGAGAATCAAGGGGAAAAAATAGTTGTTGTTTTTTAAACTAGTCTCTGCAATCTCCTCTGAACAAATAGGGTGGTAGGATTTGGAAACGGGAAGATCACTTTGCAATGCATCTCCTCCCAGTCCTCAAAGGACAGCAGTTTTTTCCCCCCCATCACTGCCCTTGACCCTCCTTACAGTAAGCAAGCATTTTGTGCATGGAAACCTCCCCTTTCCACTGAGGCATTGCAAATGCTGAAGCAATATTTGAAGTGGGCAGAGAAGGGCTCAGGACTTGCGTGACTCAGGCAGGCAGCTTTAATGGCCTGAGATTCCTTCCTCTCCCCCCCTCCCCCCCCAGCCTCTGCCAATGCACAGGGCGTTGCGCGTGGCCGAGTTTAATTTTCTGAATGCTTCAGTGACACATCTTTGGATCACCCACCTTCCCACTTCGGCAGCCTCCCCTTCCCAGTGCCAAACAATGCCTTCCATCTCCAATCCCGCCTTTGGGATTTGGAGAGCTGGGGGTCGCCACCCAAACTGTCCTCCCTCCCCCCTCCTCCCTTCCATCAGGAAGGCAAAATCATCCCAAGTTTCCCAAGGACACCCAAGTGGGTGGCCAGCAAAGCGGTGACTGGAAGGAGGAAGGAAAGAAAAGTGGCTGTAGGTCCAGCGCAGAGGCAAGAGAGGAGCAAGGAAGGCCATCCCAAGGTGGGGAGGGTTTAAAGGGGGGGGGAGAAGGAAGAGGAAGAGGAGAGCACCCTTTGCTAAAAGATGGCTTCTCTGCTCACAGGTCTTCAACTGAACCTCACAAATGAAGGCAAATATAAATGTCCCAGGATAACGTTGCAGGATCCAATCTGGCTCCGTCACCCAGATCAGAGATTCTACTCTTCCAGAGCTTCACACATTCACACATTCTGGCCAGAGAGAACTTTCTTGAGGAGTAGACTCTGGCATGAGTCCAAAACCTCAGAAGACTCAACCTCTGATCCTACTGATGGATCCAGACGGGATTCCTGAATCATCTGAATCTGTTCCGATCTGCAAAGCTATTTCTTTCCGGCTCCTGGATTGGGGAGAATAAAGTCACCTCGCTGTTCCTGAGCATATTCTGATGAGTCTCTCATCAGAGAATAAACAAAGGCGACCTGCTTGCAGGCACCCAGGTTTCCAGGTCAGAAGCCATGCGGGAAAATATCACAATTAATGTGTGTGTGTGTGTGTGTGTGTATTCTATTTGCCTAGAAGGAGGCCTCGGACTCTGGTCACCCACTCTGTACTCCCACCATATCATAGAGTTTCTGGGAAGCCTGAAAACTGAGTGGGAGAGAGAGAGAGAGAGAGAAAGCTGGGATAGGAGAGCGTGGATCAGTTTTTCCTGCAGGAGGCTGGGGGGGGGGGGAGAGAAACAAGGGTGAATGGAAGAGGTGCTGACAATGCAACAAAGGAAAAGGGGGACAGGGTGGGCGCCAGACACGGGATTAAGTCAGATCCTGCAGACGTGGGCAAAAATCAATGGGAGGTGGAAAGGCTGCCCCCCCCTCTCCAAAGGGAGGGTACTTCGGTTTCTTTTGGGCAGAAAAAGTGGCTGGATAAAAAAAAAATGAATGGGATTCCCTCAAAAGGAGACACAGATTCTCCCCAGCAGACATCACATCCTGGGGTAATACATGTGTGTTTTCCTATCTGTGTTATCTTGCCTTTCTCTCTAGGAAATGAAAAGGAAAAAAAAACATAGGACATTTTTTTCTTGCTTCTCTGGACTGTCTAAATGTCCTGACTTCCAGCTTCCCCCAAAATTAGGACCGGGGAGTTTTGTAAAAAGTATCTAGTTCTTATGATATTCAGAAATGGATTGGTAAGGGTAGGAAAAGTTAAGGCACCATCCAAGCCATAAGCCAAGAGACTCTTGGTTCTTAAGAGAAGGCTAAAAATCTGTGGAGATTCTCAGTCATCCAGATCATGGTTGTCCCAAGGGTGTTTTTTCCCCCCCAAAAGGCAACTAACTGGACTTTCTTGGTTTTTTTCCCCCCTTGAAAATGTTTCACTTCTCATCCAAGAAGCTTCTTCAGTTCTAACTAGAGCAGGGCTTTTCTAGTTTTTTCTTCCCTCCCACAGCAAACGGATTATTCCGGAAGGCTTCTTAACCCCTTATAGATGTTCATAGGCAAACACAGAGAGAATCCAGGCACTAAGAAAGAAATCAAGCCAGATGGGCTTAAATGCCAAACTCTCCTCTCCCAGAGTGGCTGATTCTTTTAAATAAAATGATTTCTTCCTTGTCAACTAAAACCATAAAGTTTGGTTCAGAGAGAGCATCTGGCTGGTTGAGAAAAATGCCTTTTCCCATAAAGGCTTGAGAGAACACATAAAGCTTTTGTTCACTGTCATACTCGCCCATCCTATCGCCCTCCGAAATCCCACATCTGTTTAATGTCCGCAGGGATTCCAGGCCATTATACTGATTTTTTTTTTTTTGTTCCCTGGGAAAGGAGGAGGGGGATCTTTCTTGGATTTAAAAAAAAAAAAGAGTGAAAAACAGCATAAAAATCATTTCTTTTTTCCCTGGCCTGCAAAATGTGAAGACCTAATTCTATATTAATTCGGTGGGAAGAAGTCCCAAGATGGGGTCACATACTGATACAGCCCCTCCCCTCCACTTGCGATGCTACCCTTGCTTAATCTGGATTTGATCCTGCCGAGAACAATAAACTGGATCTAACTCTCTTCAAGCAGTGGCCACCCTAACTAAGATACAAAGGTTAGCCATGACCGATTTTTTTTTCTACCTGCTTCTTCCAGCACCACCCAATTTATTATTTTGACAAACTAGAGCTCTCTCGATCTAGTAGTGCCAGCAAGTCTTCAGTAGGACAAACAGATCTACTCAATAGGAATGACACTACTCCAACCTAAGGTGCTTCTAATACAAGTTGTTGCTTAAAAAAACTCTGGAAAGTAGTTTTAGATGGGTCTACTCACGGCTCAGCTCTACTTGAGCTGAGTGGGATTTACGCCGAAGTAAAAGAAAAGAACCAACTCGGCCAGAGAGCAAAAAAAGAGATCATCTACCGTATCAAAGAAGCATCGCCCAGGTGATTCCGACCCGATCTCTCTGCTTCCCACAGGGGAGCTGGCCCCGCGTCTCCACAGCGTAACGTGGGAACCCAAGCCCGGTTGACCCCCCCCCAATACACCGGATTCGCCTTCCCAACACAGAGAGCCGCCACGGGTCTCTTTTGGCAAATTCCGAGACGCTTCAAAGGGACTCACCGAGGCCGTCAGACGCCTCTCCCCCGGACCGATCCCGAATCAAAACAAAACGGGGATTTTAATAAGCTGAATAGTCGACAATCCGAAATGTCCTCTCCGCAGGAAAACAAAACAAAACAAAACGGGGGGGGGGGTATCCTCGCTCCGGACAGACGGGAGCTCCTGAAGCGCCGGCAAAAAGATCCGTAAACGGGAGGAGGCGAGAGCAAACCCAACCCGCGTCTGTGATGGTCGTGGGAAAGCAGCGGCGGTGGCGGCGGCGGCGGTGGCAGGAGGGGAGGGAAAGCGAGGATCTCTCGCTTTGCAAGCAGCAGCAGCAGCCGCCGCCTGCGCTGCCCGGTTCGCCAAAGGTGTCCGCCTGCCAGCCCCGGTGGCTTTTTTAATGTTCAGGGAGGCGCTCCAAAAAGTTTTTTTTTTTTTTTCCTCTCCCACACGCGCGCGCGCGCGCGCACACGGAGAGTCACACGGGGCTGGGTGGGGCTTGCGAAGGAGGGGGAGGGGGAGGAGAGGGGGGGGGGAAGGAAAAGAAAAAAGAAAAGAAAAAAAGAAAAGATCCAACTCCGAGAAGAGAAAGGCGGGGGACGATGAGGCAGCGCGGCTTCCCGAGGCTGCAAAGTCAGCAGTGGGATTTGCCCGGTGACGTCACGCCGCCGCCAACCTCGCCGGCTGCGGCTTCGGCGCTCGCGGCCGCCCGACGGAGGCGCGAGGCGGATCTCGCCCGGGCTGGCTGGGATCGACCCGGGCACGGTTGTGGGGCCCGATCGCCTCTTCTTCTTTCCCTCTCTCGCCCCCCCCCCGCGCTTCCCCTTTGCAGCTCCGACCGCCGGGGCTTTTGCGGGACGGCCAGTCCACCTTGGCTTTCTCCGACCCCCTTTTAGGGTCGCAAAGCGAGGCTTGGAGACTAGGGGCGGGAAGGGATAAAGTGCACGGTCGCCCCGGGCACGGTTGTGAGACCCGATCGCCTTTCCCCCCCCTCCCCTTTGCAGCTCCGACCGCCGGGGCTTTTGCGGGATGGCCAGCCAGCTTTGGCTTTCCCCGACCCCTTAAGGTCGCAAAGCGAGGCTTGGAGACTAGGGCCGGGAGGGGCGAGCCGAGCAGCCCGGTACACGATTCCAATCTCGCTGTTCCGTGGGCGAGGCTTTTGAAGACTTGGGCGGCGTTCACACGACGCGCTGGACCCGGGCGGCTGCAGACGCGTTTGCGCAATAGGCTGTTGTTCGTGGCTTGGGCTGGGCAAGCCCGCCAAGGATAATAGACGGCGTGCTTCCGCAAAGGAGTTAATGGGGTAACTAGGTGTAGGGAAGGGGTTGTGTGAAGGCAGCCAGGGACGATGAGAGGCGATCAGTGGCTCAGTAAAGGGCGATGAATGGGTAAAATCTATGACTGGAGCTACTGTATTTTTGAGCTGACAGTCTTGCCAATTGCTCGAATGAATGGAAGGGGATCAGTTCAGCACATCTTTTCAAAAAAACTTCAGGCTGTATCCTGAAGGGTCCTATCCCTCCACTTGGTTTATTTCCTAAACCTAAACCATGATCAGCTGAGTGTTGAGCCCAAACCACATTCTCTTTCAACCACTAGCTGGGCTCTGAGGGAGATGGATGGTTTAGAAATAATAGTGATAGGAAATATAAACAAACAAACAAATAAATTGTGGGAGGACAGCACTCCCCCCCCCGCAGATATTATAAAGGCAGAATATTATATTTCCCCAAAGAATCTTAAAGGCAGAAAAAGGAGGCCCGGTTTTTCTTAATAGCCCCAGGCAGAAACCAGGTCTGTAGAAATGCAGATCTGATAATCCTATTCAGAAAGGTTGGAGCAGGAAGTTAGAAGCTGATGAGATTAGAAAGACAAAGATCCTTAAAATCTATATACCCACCAACAGAATACCAAAAGGACACACTGAACCTCAGGTCAAAGTTCATGCCACAGGAACAGGAAACAATCTCAAAAGCCCAAGAAGGTATAAAAAGCCATCACTCCCAGCAACATGCGGTCAGCTGTTCCAGAGCCTCATGTCTTGTGATTCTGCTCTTCAATAAAACTACAACCTTCGTTCTAAAGCAGTCTCCATTTTGTTTATTCCCGGCTTGGATTGGACCCTGATGAAGATTTTTCTTTCAACAAAATAAAATCAGATAATATTGATTGGAAACGTGGAAAAGGCCTTCATCCTGCAGTGGATAGACCAGTGGTTCTCAACCTGTGGGTCGGGACCCCATTTGGGGTCGAGCGACCATTTCATGGGGGTCGCCAAACAACGCAGTCCGCCATTTTTTCCCCCCTTTTCCTTAGGTGTGCTTCTCCCTTTTATTCTATTGGCTTTTGAAAGCCAATAGAATAGACTCTCTTGAATAGAGTCTAATTCTATTGGCTTTCAAAAGCCAATAGGAATTGTCCAGACTGTCTCGCCCTGCTGAACCCGCCAAAAGTCCCATTCTGCAAACGGTGCTGCACCAGTTGAGTAGTCCTCGACTTACGACCGGTTGAGTAGTCCTCGACTTACAACCGGTTGGGGGTCGTGGCATTAAAAAGGTTGAGAACCACTGGGATAGGCGATGACTAAAATGATGATGAAATAAAATAAAAATCCAGATCATCATTAGAGGGAAGTTAAGAGTTTGCAGGCTATCTTTGCTGCCCTTAGCGTAGGTGAGGGGCGTCTATGGGAGGGAGACAAAAAAAGTTAACATGGCACCTTCAGGGCTGCCATCTTGACCCCATGGATGTTTCTAGTAGGAAGGCAAAGAATTATTTAAACGTGACTGGAAAGTAACCGTTATCAACTCTTATTTCCATTTGTTTTTATTTAATTTCTTCCAAATGCTTTTATGGTTCCCAGGAGGAAACATATACACTAACCAATAAAAAACATATATCAAACGTATCAGACCATTAAAATGCAATAACTGGGATAACATTATAAACTTAAAATTTCAGCGCCATTCGCTATAAAACCCCAAGGAATTTCACTGTGTAGAGAACTCAGGTATCAGTTTTCATCCAAATGTATACAGCTAGTCCTTGACATATGACTGTAACAGAGCTTGCCCATTACAGTCATAAATGGCGTATGGTCATGATTTAAGGTCATAAATCATGGTGATTGTAAAATGAGTCGGTCACATGACCAAACCCAATTTCACAACCTTTTTTTGCAGCAGTTAAGTGAATGCCGCGGTCATTATGTGGGCCCATAATTCGCTAAGGGCATGACTTTGCAGAAAACTGGAACTAAACTGCAGAAAACTGGAAGTAAAGAAAACTGCCAGTTTTCAGCAAAACCGTCATAAAATGTGGTCATGTGACTGCAGGACGCTACAAACATAAATGCAGCCATATTACGAAGTCACATGTCCACAGAGGGGGCACAACGGCCAGAACTTCGGATCCAAGTTATAAGTAGACCCAAGATAGGGCTGTCATAACCTCAAAATGGTCCCTAAATGACCGATCATAAATTGAGGGCTATCTATATTTAAAAACACATCTTACCAAAATTCCCAAATATTAAAAAGTGAGGATGTGAATCTTAACATCTCTATGGAGAAGGCCACAATTCAAATGTAAATGAAATGATTTATTATTATTTATTTATTAATATTAGATTTAATATTCTGTTGGCCTCATTTTTTGAGCCTGTCCCTTATGACAAAGGACCCAGAAATATTGCAAATCGCAGCTTGGTGCCATTTTTTTCAGTAGTTTTCCTTGTTTCCTATTTTAATGTTATTATTCATCAAATATAACCAAAATAGTAACTTGTTATGACACACCAGTGATCGTGCACACTTTTTTTATATACACAAGAGCGATTAAAATGAAGCAAAGAGATTCACATAATATTAAAATAGAATTAATTCTGTCCTTTAGCATGTAACTTAATCTAATCCATAAAGAAATATAGTACAGGCAGTCCTCAATTTATGACTACATGACGCATCCTTATGACCAGAATTTCCATTGCTATTCAAGACAGTTTTTAAGTCCGACTCATGCCGGCAGAGGAGGCATGCTACGGGCCCCCGTCAGACCAATTATTCCGCCTAGTGGGGTACAGGAGGAGGGCATTCTCTGCTGTGGCTCCTCCCCTCTGCAACATCTTGCCCCACCCCAGATGTGAGGTTGGCCCCCACCCTCCCATCCTTTTGTTAGGGCCTAAAGTTCTGGCTCTGCCAGTTGGCTTGGGACCTCAGTGGGGGAACAGCGCAATGGAGGTGGTTGATCGAGTGACAACAGATCCCACACCCTCCCCACTCTGGC